TGAAATTTTGATCAATTAGCTTTTTGTGAGTTGTTCTAAATCCTTGGGGACAGGGGATAATACCTTGTCAACTGCGATGTCTGTAGCATTTCATGGAGTGCCACACGCTGACTATGGTGACTTTTAACTAAAACTGCTTTTGAATGTTAAAAGGAGCATTAACTGCATTGGAAAATCAACCTGCAAACTGAAGCTCTTTCAGACTACGTATGATACACGGTCACATTGCACATAGACCTTCAATAAATCTGAGGGGAGAGAGGAAGGAGCACTGACATGCAAAGCTTAAAGTCTTGTTGTTAAATATGAGGCTATAAAATCTCCCTTTCCCATCAAACAAAAACAAAGAGAGAACTAAGGAAAGATCATGTACAGTTTCACTGTTAGGGGATCATGTGTTTAGAAAAGCAAAGCATTGCATATTTCAATTTTAATTCAAGTTATTGGCATGCATAACTTTAATGATAAGATATTGGGATAAGGAATATATGAGCATATAGCCTTTCCATTTTTCTAAGTATCTAACATCATGTGATTCAGAGTAGTCCTGAAACAGAAAATGTTGGAATAAATTTGGTTTTAGATTTTTTGCAAAAGCAGAGTATGCAACTGCTTTTTTTTTTAACTCACAAGTATATCTCTAAAGATAGGCTTTCTCATTTCTTTCACTTTTAAACTCCTTCAGTCCATTTATTTGTAAAAGTTGGTTTTGCTTCCTGTTGCTTTTGTCAGTAAATCAAATTTCAAAGCTGACATACTTTGTTATGGGAAATAACCTAATTTGGGTTTATTTTCAGTTAAACATTTTTTGTTGTTCTTTGAGTGGTAGGAGACAGTGTCACCAAATAGTTTGAATTGGCCACATTCTTCTTTGACAGGAGATTTGTGACTCTGCATATTTATCTATACTTAACATCTGCAGAATGAACTAACAGAATGATGGAAAGGAACAAATAGTTACAGAATCGAGGATGCTATTTCGGACGTGTGAGCAGAGGAAACCATTTGTTTTAAATCTGTTGTCCATCATCCTTCATCTGCATCTTGCCCAAGATAAAAGAATGAAAGTTGACTGATCAAAAAGGAAAAGAAAAAACAATGTTACTCATATATTGGATATTCTGAAATTACCTCCCTTGACCTAGTTCATGAATTTGTTAATGTAAAACAAACAAAGGTTGTATTTGTACATTAAAATTCTACCAAACTCACTGTCATCAATTAGATGCTGACTCACAATGACCCTATAGGATAGGGTACCTACCACACATCACCTAGCATCAATAACTTTGCAAAGAAATTGAAAGCATAAGGCATCATTAGAATGAACAGTATTTATAAATAGTCATGGTTTTGCACTGTGGTGTAATATGCTTTACTTAAGGAACAATTTTCCTAAGTACCTTGACTTCTTCAAAGCACAGAACACCTTCATGTAGGCCCTGGGTTATGCTTTGGTTGCTAACACCAAATCAGCAGTTCAAAACCAGTAGCCACTGCACAGGAGAAAGATGAAGCTAAATATTTTCATAAAGAGTTAGTCTTAGAAATCCACAGACAATTCTATTCTGTCCCATATGGTTGCTCTGAGTTGGATAGCAAAGAGTTTGAAATTTTGGTTTATAGATGAGGCTATCTGCTTCTACAAATATTTTGTCTTGGAAATCCTAGGGGCGCCATGAGTCAGAATCGTCTTGATGGCAGTGGCAGTATGGAATGTTAGAAAACATCTCATTTTTGTTTGCTTTTAAGGCTGTAGACATGTAACTTCAACTATTATAGACCATATTTTGAGTGGGTTTTGGACCTCTCAAAATCCTTAAGATTCAGCAGGAACTTCCCTGGAATTCTTTATTTTATTCTGATGACCAGTGACCTGTTTTTCTATAGCTACTCTTAGAGTCTTTCGAGTTGATTTACAAATGAAAAGACATGCACATTGTAATTTTGTTCTCTTAATTTACTGTGTGAAACATAAAATCGAGGGGGGGAGATAATCTAAACAATGAAAAAGTACTGGTTTCATCAGCTCTATCATAATTCTCCTTAAATAGAAGACATCTTTTGTCAAGCCATCTCATTACTTAGCCTATTCTGAGCAGCAAATACTTATACCAACCTTTTAAATTGTATTTATATGTATAATATATATTGACCTACATGCTATAAAAGATTGCTCCAAAAAGTCTGTGGAAAAATATAATTAAAAAATGATGAAATTTTCTTCTGAAGTCCCTTTGTAAAAAAATAAATCCATATATGATATATGTATGTATGAGTGTGTGTGTGTATGTACACAAAGAGACTTCAAACGTTCCTGGAAAGAAGAAATTAAAAGATAATGTAATTTTCCACAAACTTTTTTAAGCCTCTTTTTACATGTGTGCATATACATAAAAAATACACATATAGAAAGAAATGACTTATGATTTTAATACATATAATATAAATCCAATCATCAGTGTTTGGTGAACACAAGAAAAATGTTTTCATGAGGGATGAAGTTTCTTCAGCACTCCTTAATTAGCCCTGCTCTCCCACATGGTAATTATCTGTTACCAGTCTAGCTCAAATAAGAATGATCTTTAGCAAACAGATGCTCAGCTGGGGAGATGTGCCTGAAGCACAAATTTCTGTTTAAAATAAAGTGTACTCCTTAGAAGTTAGTAACTATATGCTTTTATCACCATATTGTACAGTGCTTATTATGGTTGCTGATGTTACGTACCTCTGGTGTTGGGGTAAATTGAGAATATAAACATATCTTCTTAGGAAAGGAGGAAAAAAAAGTTAAAGAAAATTAAACCTGTACGGTCTCTGATGCTTTCAGATAAGTCCTATGTCTTTGCTTTGTTCTGTAATTTGGAGGTGATATTAAATATACCTTTTTGGGACTGAGAGGAAAAGAGTGTGGGACAATAGATAGAACAAATTCTATTGAAGTAGCAAAGCAAGATATGATGATATATTAATAGCATACCTTTCTGTAACCAACATTCATGGGTGGAGTTCATAGTGAAATTGAGTTGAGCAGAGTAAATTCATGGGTAAAGTTCATAGTGAAATATTTGTTAATGCTATTATCACTGTGATAAGTGATATGATGATATTTTGGCCTTGGGTATACCTCTGAAAAATATCTAGTGATGCTTATAGATAACTCATTATAAAATATATTTTGGTGATTAGAATCAAATCTTTAATTTAGGGAAATACAAAGTCACTTTGTCAGGGATTCAGTAATATTTCTTGCAAAATTAAGACATGAAAACATAAATAAGATACATATTTTTCATATAGGTCTTTTGTACTAAATAGTAGATATGAGCAGAAAATAGAGGAGCTGGTTTATATGAAGAAAAATGCAGCATCAGCATAGGAGGAAGGCTTATTAACAGCCTGTGATATGTTCCTGACCCAGCCTTGCTTGCTGACAGTGAGGAGGCCTTGAAACACTGGCCTATGAAGATCAGAGATTTCAGTCTTCAGTATGGATTACAACTCAATGTAAAGAAGACCCAAATCCTCACAACTAGTTCACTTGTCACATCATGATAAATGAAGAAAAAATTGAAGTTGTTGAGGATTTTGTCTTGCTTGAATTCAGTCAGTACTCATGGAAAGCAGACATCAAAGCACACATTGCATCCGGTAATCTGCTGCCCAAGATTTCTTTAAAGCATTGGACTAACCTTAATTTTAATTGCCTCGTATGCATGGGAAAGTTGGACATTGAATAAGAAAGATGGAAGAAGTATCACTGCATTTCATTTTTGGTACTGGAGAAGAATATTGGAAGTTCCATGGAATGGCAACAACAACCACATATCTGTCTTGTAAGAAGTATAACCAGAATGCTCCTTAGAGACAAGGATGGGAAGACTTTGTCTTAACATACTTTGGACATGTTACCAGGAAAAACCAGTCTCTGGAAAAGGACATTGTGGTAGTTACATAAATTCATGTCAATTTGAAGATATAAAAGTATAGGGTGGAGGCTAGCCTGTCAATCAGGTCACAGGCTGATTGTACCTCCTTGTGGGCATGACCTTTTCAAAAGGAAGGCCCTGGGAACTTCCCCCGTCTCTCTGCCTTCACCTTCTTGTTGAGTCATTCTGAGTCCTGTAGGAGTCCTGTGATGCTTCCACCACCATTGGATCTACAAGACTTTTCACCTAACAGCTTGTGATATTTCTGCATTTTGAATCATTGCTTGTGGCTTTGTGAGTCTAAAGAGGGATTTATGGACTAGTATCAGACTTAGGTACTAGAACTGGACTTATGTACTTGATCGGGACTAGACTGGCCTGCTTTCCTGATATATAACTACTCCTTGATACAATGCTCTCTCTTACATATATACAAGTGTCCCTAGTTGTGTTTTTCTACTCACCCTGGCCCAGCACAGACATCATGCTTGGCTGAGTGGAGGTGAAGTGAAAAAGAGGAAGGCCCTGGACAAGATGGATTGACACACTGGTTGTAACAATGGATTCAAGCATAGCAATAATTTTTAGGCTGTTGTAAGACCAAGACGTGTTTCATTCTGTTCTGCATAAGGGTATGAGTCAGAACTAACTTGAAGGATCTTAAAAACACATATATCAATTTTGATGCATGTTTATTCCCTTTGTTACCATATTACTCCTTATTTAAGTCTATCTTACCCATTTTGACATTCAATAAATGCAAAAATGTATTATCATTAAGAAAATATATTTATGGAATTTAATAGGAAAACATTGTTATAAACTTGTGCAATTTATGACTGAAGAAGAAAATGAAGAGCCCTAAAGGCAGAAGTCATATATAACCTTATGGTCTATTTGTTTAATAATTATCAATCAGTTAAGAAAGGAATAACAAAAATATTACCTATTGAAAATTTTTCTTTATAAAAAATAAACTCATCTTATGTAAATAGAACTATAATATGAGAATTCATCACCATATTTGAAGTAATTATAAAAATATTTTTGAAATTTTGTTTATCATTTCAGAGTATCTAACTGTGTTCTCTCAGATGATTGCATTCCATGATCCAGAGTTGAGTAATCATCTCAATGAGATTGGTTTTATTCCAGATGTAAGTACTTCTTGCTTTAATAAAACATGCAGTTTAAAAAAATAAATGCCAAGCACAAACACACACACATACCAAAATGGAACTATGAAAGAGTGTTTTAAACATTTTCATAAGAGGTTCATATCAGTACAAATGACTATTATAAATTATAGCTTTCTTTTGTTGAGTTTGCATGGTTTTTCATTTTCTCCCTTTAAGTCTAGGGGAAACGTCATTTTTGTTTGCATTGTTTTAGAAAAAATAGTGAATTCAGATGTGTGAGCAAGACAATATAGTGAGTGAATGTTCCCACTAAACAATAAATAAAAATAAATGTAGCCTGGGATCTTAGAACTTCTGATCTGAGCTGAGGCATTGGCACCTCAGGATGAGTTCAGAAGCAGGAGAGATAGGAATGAGGGTAGCACAGAAGCTGGGAGAAACCACCCACTGACATTTGCAACAGCACCCAAAGCAAGGAACTCAGAAAAGGAGCTATTCTGAGGAAATGATAGCCCAGTTTTGTGAGGCAGTGCAGATTGTATTTACATATTTACAGGCCCCACACTGGAGAGGGAAGGCAGAGAAACTCGGATGCTGTGACAGTTGGCTGTTGAATGTCCTTCAGATCTGCAATGGACAGGCCCTAAGACTGGGAGGAAATAAATCTGCAGTAGGCAAGTTGAATACTTGCGGTGGGTGGAGCACAAAGGGAAATGGCCAGCTCCTTATCAACAGCTGAACACCATGAGGGAACATGTGCAGGAGAGCCCAAAAATGAAAGACCCAGAGAACACCTCATCTCTGCCACGGGGTAATTGAGCCCCACTCGTACTTTACATCCATATCTGTGACCAGCTAATCACCGCTCCCTCCTGCTCTCGTGTATTGAATGCTAGAGATCAAGCTTCCAAAGCTCCTCAAACAGCACTGCAAACAAATCTAAGAGTGCCTTTTAGTAGTTCTTAGAGATATCCACGATTCCAAGCCCACTGCTGCTGGGTAGATTCTGACTCATTATGTTCAGCTGGAGTTTCTAAAAAAGCAAAACCAGTGGTGCTTTTATATCTAGATAACATCATAGATATATGAAATTTATATCAAGAAGGAAAAAGAGAAAAAAATAAACAAAACCAGAAAGCAGTTCTTTAGAGAAATCAACAAAATGGATACACTACTGGTTAGATTGATTTTTTTTTCTTCAAAAAATGGGAGTAAACTAATAACCAAATTAAGAAATAAAATTTTGACCTAAAACCAATCTGAAAGATAAGACAATCTGTAATAGATTACTAAGAGAAATAATACCCAGAAATTTTGAAAACCTGCATGCAATGGACAAATTCCTAGAGTCACTAACTGCCTAGAGTAAGATATGTGGGTAGACAATTTAAGCAGATCCATTATAAAAATGGGATTGAAGATCCATCACAAAAACTACCACCACAAGCAACAACGAAAAGAAAAGACCCAGAAGGCTACACAGAAGAGTTCCACCAAACAGTCAGTGAAGAGTTGACACCAAGCCTGTTCAATCTCTTCCAAAAGTAAACGATGAAGGAATACTACGCACTCTTTCGGTGAAGCCAACATCTCCCTGATATGGAAGCTGGCAAAGAGAACCCAAAACAAGTAAAATTACAGACCAATGTCCCTTGTAAGCATAGACATAAACATTTTCAACAAAACTCTAGTCAACATCCCAGAAAAAATAATTTACCATGATGAAGTAGGACTCATACCAGGACACAGAGTGGTTCAACTTTAGAAAATCCATTACTGTAACCCACCACGTACATAAAGGAGAAGAAGCAGGTGATTACTACAATTAATACAGAAAAGGCATTCAATAGATTCAACACCATTTCCTGATAAAAACCCTTAGCAACCTGTAAAGAGAAGAGAAGGGGCGTTTCTCAACATAACTAAGGGCTTTTATGCAAAACCGTGGAAGAGAGATGAGCTTTCCTGCTCCAGTCAAGATTTACTGTCTCGGAAGCCCAAAGAGGGTCGCTCTGTTCTGTTCTGTAGGGTAGCTATGAATGGAAATTGACCTGATGTCAGTGAATATCTAGTTTTGATGTAGAACCAACATCATCCTCAGGAGGAAAAAGAGTGAGAGCCTTCCATTTTAGAACAAGAATGAGAAAGGAATGCTCTTTGTCATTATCATCACTCTTATTTAACATTGTACTGGATGTCCGAGTCAGATCAATAAGATATCAAAGAGAAAAATGTTTAAATCAGAAAAAAGATAATTATCTCTATTTTCAAATGACATGATTCTAAAAATCCAAAAAATACCCACTACCATGTAATCAATTCTGATTCTATTTATATCAACTTTAGAATAGAATGGCAACCCTTGGTGGCTTAATGATTACAAGTTTGACTGTGATCCACAAGGTCAGTAATTCAAAACCACCAGCCGCTCCATGGAGTAAGATGAGGCTTTCTTGAAGAGGTACAGTTTCAGAAACAGTCAGAAACTGTCCTATAGGGTTGGGATCAACTCAATAGCAATGAGTTAATAGAATAGAATAGAACTTCCACATAGTGTTTCCAAAACTGTAAATGTTTATGGAAGCAAATTGTCACATTGTTCTCCCTTATAGTGGACCGAGGGTTCCAGCTGCCTGCCTTTCAGTTAATCTGGTTCTTTCGCCATTGCATCACCAATCAAAAGAATATTGGAGAAAAATGAACAAAGCAAGAGATTTTACACTCTCTGACACAAAAGCACACAATTCAGCTAGAATAATCAAAACAGCTTGGTAGTGGTTTAACAATAGGCGTTCCAGTGGAATTTAATTGAGAACTCAGAATTAAGTGTAAACATCTATGGATATTACTTTGAGGACTAAGGTGCACCTGGCACAACACATGATATTTTTGGTTGCTTCATATGCATGTGAAGGTTGAATACTGAATAAGGAAGACTGAAGAAGAATCCATGCATTTGGATTGTGATCCTAGCGAACAACATTGGAAGTACCATGGAGTGCCAAAAGGACAATCACATCTATCTTCAACAAAGTACCAGCAGACTGTTCCTTGGAGGCAAGGATGTGAGACTTCATCTTACATACTTTGGATACATTGTTAGGAGAGACAAGTCACTGGAGAATGTCATCATACTTGATAAAGAAGAGGGGTAGTGAAAAAGAGGAAGGCCCTCGTCAAGATGGATTGACACAGTAGATGCAACAATGGACTCAGGCATAGAAATAATTATGGGGGTGGCCCAGGACCAGTCATTGTTTCCTTCTGTTGTGCATAGGGGTCCCTATGCATCAAGACAGAGTTGATGGCTCTTACATACAATAACATCTGTGCATGCATACAGCCACTTGTCTGTTAGCTTGTTGTGCGAAAACTCACAGACTAAGAACAGACTATAATGAAAGAACAGAGTATCCACTTCTGATGAATTAGCCACCACAGACCTTACAAATACCAGGGGTATACATCGTCAGATCTGAAATCTCATGAATAACAGCAGAACACTGTCAGATATAGTGCTGGAAGTCAGGTTGGAAGGGGCTTAGTAGATGACTGAGGAAGTGTTGCCTTCTTAAATGGAGTCAACCATACCAATGAAGATGGAAAGAATGCATAGAATCACTGTACCAAAAAGAGCTAGTCAACATTCTACCATTCCAGAAGGTAGCATATGAGCAAGACCAATGGTACTGAAAGAAAAGGTTGAAGCTACACTGAAAGCATTACCCAAAAGCAAGGCTCCAGGAATTGATGAACACCAAGTAAAATGTTTCATCGAGTTGATGAAGCACTGAAAGCACTCACTTGTCTATGCCAGGAAATTTGGAAAACAGCTCTGTAGCCATCTACCTAGAATAGACAAAGAATCCAAAAAAAGAATTAAAAAAATTTTTAATGGAAAAAAGCTCTGCTGGACAGAGGTTTGATAGTATGCATTTTTGCCAGTAGGCGAGCGTCAAGCAGAACACTCAAATTAAAGAACATATCACTGATTTTACATGCTAGTAAAATTTTGCTAAAGATCGTCCAATGACAGTTGCAGCAGTACGTGGACAGAGAGCTGTTCAGGCTGGATTCCTAAGATAAAGTGGAACAAAGGATGTTATTGTTGAAGTCAGATGGATCTTGGCGGAAAGCACAGAATACCAGAAAGATGTCACTTGTAGTTTATTGACTATGCCAAGGCATTTGACTGTGTGGATTATAACAAATTATGAGTAACCTTGAGAAGAATGAGAATTCAAGAAGAATTCATTGTGCTCATACAGAAATTGTCCATGACCCAAGAAGCAGACCAAGGGAAAAATGCATGGTTTAAAATCAGGAAAGGTGTGCTACAGGGTTCTATCCTCTCACCATACGCTTCCCTTTATAAAGTTTGGAAAATCATCAGAGAAGCTTGGCCATTAGAAAAAAGGACTTTATCACTTACTGAACAAAAAGCACTATAGCGATTGGTATAGGTGTGTTACTGTCTCTTTTTCTAAAGTCCCATGAAGGTCACACCTATGGCCCCATTGTTACACATCCGCAGGAAATACATTGCAGGGAAACCCTGAGTTTTGGAAATTTGATTTTTTTAGTGGTCCATAAGCATGGCTTCCTTTTGATATGAAAGGAAAGGTATACTATTTTCTTTCAATTCTGTAAGTAAATTTTATCTTTTCTACAGACAAAGAATC